TGCTTCTTGCAACCAGATTATTGAATCGCTTCGCTCAATCCGCCAGCCCATCTTGCATCACTGGTGATACAGGTTTGAGAAGGAGGAGGAAGAAGAGGAGGAGAAGGAGGAGGAGGAGGAGGACTTGTGGGGTTCTCGTGGGGGCTCTTGGCGGCCTGTTTGAGCCTGGTGGGGGGCTCTTGGAGCTTCTTGGGGCCTCCTATGCGCCTCTTGGGGCCGAGGGCTCGAAATGTCCGTTCGGGTTCCCCGTCAGGCTCCCTCTTGGGGCCGTCCTGGGTACATCTTGGGCCGTCTTGGAGGCCGTCGGGAAGCAGGATGAATGAGAACGCCCAAATCTTCAATTATTCACTGCGTGGAGCTCCCCATATGTGCATTCTATTCGCATGGACCTGTCCGCCGTGAATGTCTAGGCGCAAGAGCTTTCGAATATAAACGGGCTTCAGTTGTGGCGGTCTGGTCATGAATCTAATTGCGAATGAACTGGAGTGTGAATGCGCCTCAGTAGTACGAGCGCGTCTCTGCGCATGAGCCTGGGGCCTCCTGGGGCCTCCTGAAACCTGCTGGAGCTTCCTGGGGCCTCCAGGAGCTTCTTGGGGCCTCCTGGGGCCTCCTGGGACCTCCCAGGGAGGCTTCGTGCCCCAGGAGAGGCCCTATATATATATATATATATATATATATATATATATATATATAGCAACCGACGTACATAAAGCATTGCGGATTGGAGCCACAGGAGAAAGGCAATCTATAGGAACACACGTAAAGCACCAAGGATTCGTGCCCCAGAAGCGGCACAACATATAGGAACATAAGTAAAACGTTTAGGATGGTGTTCACAAGACAAGGACAAACTATAGACACATACGTATAACGTCAAGGATTCGTGCTCCAGGTGAGGCCCCATCTATAGGAGCATACTTAAAACACGTGGGATTGGAGCCATTCCTGTTGCCTTCTGAGGCCTCCTGCTCCTGGGGCCTCTCGGGGCCTCCTGTTGCCTTCCGAAGTCTCCTGGCGCTTCCTGTGGCCTCCTGGTGCCTCCTGTGGCTTCCTGAAGCCTCCTGGAGCTTCCTGGGGCCTCCTCGAGCCTCTTGGGACATCTTGTGGCCTCTTGAGTCTTTCTGTGGCCTCCTGATGCCTCCTGGGGCCTCATGTGGTCCCCAGGGGCCTCCTGGAGCCTGTTGGAGCATCCTGTGGCATCCTGAGGAGAACCTGTGCCCACGAGTCTGGCCACCAAAACAGGCAAACCGAACGAGGCATCCTCAAAATCTGGCCCACCTGGGGCGTCAAAATGAGCGCCCCGCTCGAGACATCCTCCAAATCTGCTCCGAAAGCGAAGGATGTTGGGACAGAAAACAGGCAAACCGTGTGAGACATCCCCACAAAACGGCCGCGAACGGGACCGTGTCATACCCCTCGGCGGCTTCCCTTAGAGACGTGAAAATGAGCGCCTCGCTCGAGACATCCTCCAAATCTGCTCCGAAAGCGAAGGATGCTGGGACAGAAAACAGGCAAACCGTGTGAGACATCCCCACAAAACCGCCGCGAACGGGACCGTGTCATCCCTTAGAGGCGTGAAAATGAGCGCCTCGCTCGAGACATCCTCCAAGTCTGCTCCGAAAGCGAAGGATGTTGGGACAGAAAACAGGCAAACCGCTTGAGACATCCCCACGAAACGGCCGCGAACGGGACCGTGTCATACCCCTCGGCGGCTCCCCTTAGGGGTGCTGAGACCAGCGCCCAGCCTGAGACATTCTCACAATCTGCTGTGTGTAGAGTAAGTCAGACAGTGGGAAGGCCTGAGTATGAGTAAGTCTGGGTATGAGTGAGTCTCAGCATGAGTAAGTCTGAGTATGAGTAGGTCTGAGTATGAGTAGGTCTGAGTATGAGTATGTCTGAGTATGAGTAGGTCTGAGTATGAGTAGGTCTGAGTGTGAGTAGGTCTGTGTATGAGTAAGTCTGTGTATGAGTAAGTCTGGGTATGAGGAGGAGGAGGAGAAGAAGAAGAGGAAGAAGGAGTAGGAGGCGTCCAAGTAGTAACAAGAACCCCATCTTAGGATATGGGGAACAATTGGAGGGGAATCAATGGTTTTTGCCTCCTGGGGCCCTCTTGGGACGCTTCTTCGAGACCTCTTTGGGCTTCTTGGGCGCGTCTGCGGCCGTCTGGAGGCTATCTTTGGTGTCTTGGACCGAGCGGTCGGCGAGTCGGAGCCCTCTTGGACCGTCTTGGGGGCTCGTGGAGCCCTCTGGGAGCGCTCCGGGGCGCCTGAAAGCCGCGCCCAGAAGGAAACAACAACTCTGGGCCGGACCGCCCGGGGTACTTTTTCGTCCCGGGACCCCCAGGAGCGGCCCCGCGCGCGCGAACCAAAAATATTCTTTACCAGTAGCCAGAGATCGTAGCACGCCTCTGGCCCGTTGGGCTGGCGAATTTTATGCTCCCTACGTGACGGGCCTCAGCGGGGGGGATGTGCCTGGTGGCTTGACGTTTTGCGCCCGCGGG